AAACGCAGATGTATTACACTGGGCGGAAAGGGGGCGCCGAATGTGCAATTCAATATTATAGCAAATGTTATTGTTTGCTGGAAAATCAAGAAATTTACTTAGGTATGTAAAGTAGGTTACCATTTATGGTTGAATACAAGATAGTTTTTCTTGAATTTCAAAGTTCTTAAGCTTTTTTTTCGGTGCATCCCAACCAGCACGCTTAACTTTTGTGTGCGAGTTTTCCCGCCAGCCGGCGGCCGTGGGTTTTTGTTTTGTTTCCAGTTGTATTTGGTTACGATGCTCACAAAATTGCACTTGAAATTTATCCCCGAGCCTTATTAGTTATTTACGCAGCAGGCGCATTCTCCGTAATGTGTGAGTGTTTGCTTTGTATGTGTGAATGGGTCTGTGCAAAGGACCCGGCGGCATTTTTGGCCAGAAACCACCCATTGGCCCACTGGCGACCCAAAAACCAACCCACCCACCTCTTCATACCCACCACCCATTGCAGATTTATAGCCTGCAGCAGTTTTTAGTGTTTTCCCTTTGTTTCGCCCTGCGTTTTGTTTATTTGGTTTTGCAATTGTTAAAAGTTTATGTCGTTTTTGTTGCGGCTGTTGCATTTCGCACACACAGTTTCCACTTGGACCCCATGAACAACAAGTTTTTGTTTTTCGGGGGAGTGGCACTGCCAGAAATACCTAGAAAAACAAGAGGAAAATAGAATAAACCCAACCGAACTGAAACAAAAGTGCGGTATTTTTGGGTGCGCCAGTTGTGATTTTGTCGCTCTGATTTGTTCCATAAATTTTTTGGCAACGTTGCTTAATTAAACGTGAACTATTGCCAGATGGAGTTTAAATATCGGCAAATTTTATTTTCCAAAAAGGATTGCCTGACTTGGCAAAAATCAGAAAAAATGTGAGGGTATCGAATTCATTTCACAGTTTGTATTTTTGGCTAGGCTTATTTTGTTTTAAATAAATATGGCAACCACATCCCTGTAAAATCAACTTAAAAGGAAAAATCCTATACTTATATTTAAGCAAACTCATTATGCTTTGATTTGGTAGGAAATAATTCTGCTCAACGCTTCAATAATTCCAAGAATACTCCAATTTAATTCGTTATAATCGCCCTAAGCCCTGTTCAAAGTTCTCCCCTTTCACTGGCGGCCTGCGAAGTTTCCCGAACTTCTGCATTAATACCAATTTGCACTTGTCAATCAAGGCAACACTCCGCAGCCAGAGACCTACGAAACTTCTAATGAGCCTAATTATTTCAACTATTTAGCCAAATACACACAGACACAGCGCACAGAGAGCCATGTCTTGCGGGGAAAGTGGGGAAAAGCATTCCGATGCTTGCCAAATTTTGCTAATGATAAATAAATTATGCGACAGCAGCCGCAGAAAATGCCGAGCTACCGACCCTCCAACTTGCCAAACCCACCGACCAAGGAACCACAAGCAGAAAACAAATAAACTCACTTCGCAATGCCAAAAGATAAGTATACGCCCCGTGGTCCCGTGGCCCTGGTCCTTAACACATTAAAGCCCGTGGGGGTGCGTGAATGTGAATGCGAATGCGAATGGTATCGCATTACGAAAGCAAGCGCACATGCGTTAATAAACAAAATCTGTTGCTAATGTACAAAATAAGTTAATTATGGCAACGCAAATGCGAAAATGCGAGATACTCCGATGCTGGCGACAACTTTTGCAGCTTTTCCAAAACTCCCTGCGACACTCTCTGGCTTTTTGGGGCTCTGGACTTTTAGGGTCCTGGTTAGGATCGTGGGTATATATAGTATATTATATAAGGGGAGTAAGAGGTGCACTTTTCCTGCACTCTGCTTTGTTCTTTGTGCGCGATAATTGCGTTTTATGGCTGTGGCAAGCAAACAAATAAACAAGCCGGTAAACAGACGAGATCGGGACTTGGAATGGGAATGTATATATATATACACTCCATATGCATACTTTGCTTGCATGCTGGCAGTCACGCCAGCCAAACAAATAATTACAAATTGCATTAATAATAAACAAACACAAAACGCCGGGCTCTAAGCCCGCTTTGCGAAAACCCCCGATTTCGATTTACCTTTTGGCAATTTTTGCGTGACTAGCATAATTTGCTCAGTGGCCGAAAATGTTGGCCCAAACCACGCCCACTTATATGCCACTGGCATTTTCACAGGCACAGAACCGCAGAAAATTTACATATTTTATTTGTAATTTGTTTGCTGCCTGTCAATATTATTTTGCAATTAATATTTCAATGATATATCGATGCAGTTGTGGAGTAGTGTTTCTAACCATTTAAAAATCCGCAGATACTCTCCACATGATGAAATATATATTTAACTAATCATAACCTATTTATAAAGTAATTTAAATGGAGGTTACAGATTTGAGGTACAAATCTTGTCATAAAATATTTTCCCTTTTTCTATACCGGGATATATTTATTTTGGTAAATGCCTGTAAAACTTATTCAGTATTTCAAAGTCTCTCTATTTCGATTTTTATTGTCAGCAAATCGATGTGACCAGTAAAATGTAGTCTTTTTTTGATGCATTCGAGTGAGTACTGAAATTATATTTGAATTGCATTTTGTTATTAGTGAGCAAATGGCGAAATTGATTACGAGTGTCCAGCGTTGGTTTACCATCAGTGTGCTCATGGGATTTATGGTATTGCATATGTCCCCGATTATTATGCACTTTCGGTAGAGCATAAATGGAAACGAGTTTACAGAGTTAGCGGACCATGAAAACCCCAATCCCATTTTCCCGGGTAAATCAAATCAAATTTATTACTAATCCGCACAGCTTTCAATGCACTGATTTATAGCCGCACTTCTTGGGGGAATGACTGCGGAGTCTGTCGTAGATCAGAACAATAGCTGCCCGTTTTTGGCTCTAATTCACTTTTACTAATACACCACTTTGCCGCCAACCCCAGCCCATTAACCCCATCCATTAGCGCCGCGGCCTCCATTTAATAGCGAGCTGATGCCTCAGATTCTCCCGTTCTGCTGATGCAGATGCAGATGCACTTCCCCGCCAATCTTCACAATGCCGTGAACTGGAGTGCACTGGATGTGGGCTGAAAAAGACCTACAACACGCACTCCAAAGAGTCACGGATCACGGTGCTTCAATCCCTTCTGAAACTCCCATAAAATTCCCACCCCCTCCACGAGTGCCGAAAAATGCAGCCGGAGTTGTGCTATATTTTAGTCATCCACTCCAAAAATGTATTTATATTTGTATAAGATAGAAGAGGGGTAAAAACCTAGTGAGCATTAGATAAATAAATACTACAAGTAAGTTATAAGCGTTCTAAAGACCAAGACTTTACAGAAAACTACATCATCATTATATTATATCATTATTTAGGATTTAAAAATGTAACACATTAATATATTGATTTTTTTCATAGGAATAGAATGTCTTTCGATTTAAGGTAGTTTTAAATTTTTTTTATATTCCACTTTTAAATGGTTTTTCTGGTCTGAAAAATATCTAGAACGCCAGCACTGCCTGCCAATGCGGGAATGTCCCCATTGAAATGCTGCTTAAGCTGTTCATTAGCAGCGGAGTAATGGAGCAACAGCCTGACACAGATTTGCTTTGGCAAGTGGGGATTGCCCCCCGTTCACCCCTTTTCGATGCCGTATTCGATTCTATTCGATTCGATTCGGTTCGATTCCGGGCGCCATAGTGTTCAGTTTTGTGGCCATGGCGACACGGCAGCCGGGGGTCATTAAAAACTTTTTACAAGCATTCAGCATCAGCATTAGCGCTGCTCGAGAGTGGAGTGTGTGTGCGGAATCTGGGCTGGGGATCTGATTCCTCCGCCGATTGCCATTGACAGGCAGCCGAGTGGATCCCTGGCCCCCTCGAGCCAAATCGAACCCCTTTTCGCCTTTTCCCCGCCTGTGCGACACCTCGCCGCCGCTTAGAACCGCCTGTCAATCCTTTTTATTGCCCGGCACAGCATCTCCACTTTCCAACCGCCGGATCTTTGCCACTTCGTCAATCAATTGGCGGCTGTGTATCGTTGTCCCTTTTATTTGTATTTTATTATGCCAAAGTGTTGTTTCGAATGTCACTTCAAGCATCGATTGTTTGTATCTGCACTGGGAAAACAAGCATTGACTACAAATGTGTGTCTTGTAAAAATATTTGACCAAATGTGCTTTTAGATGCGACGGGTATGCAAATAGCCCATTCAAACAGAACTTAATTATTTTTAATGGATTTTAAAAATAGAAGTCACGTTTTTTAGTCTCTATCTTATTGGTTTGTTTATATTACAATAATCATTATTTTTTACATTTTTATCTGTGTATAAGTATGGGTTTGTCGCACTCTTTCAATTTCAAAGTTATTGGAAAAGGGAAAAATACTTGGAGTTAGAGTCACATTCGAGGCACTTAATTGAGCAGCCGCAGCGGCGGTCTTCGCAAAAAATAAGTGGAGCAGTCAATTGAGTTAGGGGTTCGAGTGTGGTGACAGTGCCCCATATATATGTCCTCCCAGATGCCCAGATACCACTTGAAAAGGGATGACAGCCCGGGGAGGGGTGCTGAATGGGGAAGCCCGACAAATACTTCATTAAAGTGAACAAATGAAACTCCTAAAGTGCGTTTCAATGGCCTCGAAATTTATTTGGTTCGGAAAATAGTTAAGATGCTGTTGAGATGCCGTAAGATTTATTGATAGCACTTGGAAAATATTTCTTGTAGTTTAAGATTCTTTAATATTAATAAATATTGTGTATAACGATGATAATACTGAATTTGTTATGTTATTTTAAACTTTAAATGCTTTTTGAAATTTTAAACGATTTCTATATGGTTTGCTATCATCTCTAGAAGATATCCCAAATATTTTTACCGATACTAATTATACGCTTATTTGATGGCTTTTTAACTTTCAACTTTGATGTTTGGCGACTGGTAAACATTTTCATTGGCCTTATAATTAGACTAAACAAGTTGTGGACTTACCCATGCTCAGCAGCAGAAGGCGAGGAGCAGCAGGAGGAATCTGGTGGGGAGAGTCCGGCAGACTGGTTTTCTCCGGCCATGGATCTGCCGAGGTCCCGTGTCCGTGGCCCTTTGGTGTCCCATTTCGGGGATTTCGCTCAAGTCGCCGGCTGACAAATCTCCGCAAAGTTGCAGCTCCAGCATTTCGAGGTGGCAAGTACGATTACTCCGCTTGTCGGCCAAATGTCTTGCATTTGCGGCAAAGACAATTTAATAAACACTTCAACGCCACACGCCGCACTTTCTGTTCCGTGGTATTTTCAATGGGGGTTGGGGGTAAAAATGGGCTTGGGACGGAGTATGCTAATTATTAATGCACGACTGGCAGCGGTTCGGTTTTATTTGCGTTTGGCAAATTGGCTCATAAACAAAATGTCTGCGATGCCTTGGGAAAATTTCCGCTAATAAGCAGCCGGATAATTAATAATTTGCCCGCGCCGCAGTTTTTCACTTTCACTCAAGCTGGCTTTCGATTGGCACTCGACGAATTTGCACATTTTGCTGATTGTTTATACATTCCGATTTCCGCCCGTTAATTGTTGCACGTCCCCGATGTTTTTCCTCTGGTCTTGATATTTGTTTCTTTGATTTTAGACAGCATCCATTTGCCATCAGCCGAGTACTTCACTTCGCGCACTCATAAATGGCCCTTGTGTCCAGCTGTTTTATTCCCCGGAAGTGCCTCTGCAAAGCGGAATGAATAACAAACAAACTTTAGTTATTGTGTAATTAAATAGAGCAGCCTTAGGACCCGTCCCCGACCGCAAGTATTTGGCATGTAAACAAACTCTGAAAACCGAACAGCACCGAATCCGAATCTAAATATGTATTTTCCCGGGAGCGACAATCCGCGCCTACGACAAGTTGACAGCCGACTGAGGAGTTATCAGGACGGTCCCCAAGAACACACCCCGAAAGACATGAGAACTGAAGACCCATAGTGGTGTGACGTAGCGCTGTTTTAACATTTCCAAAATTAGCACGCTGGAAGGGCAGGCGACGGCAGCATGTTGCTGGAACCGCAGCAACATGTTGCAGGCGGCAGCCCTCGAAACAGGAGTTCTTTTTATAAAACTCAAGTGGAATAAAATTTCAAAAAATTTGAACAGTTTTTAAAAAAACATCAGTTTGACCCTCAAAAAGTTATGAGCTTAAGCAACTGATATTTAAACTGTAGGAATAATAAATATAAATATAAAATATCTCTATCCATTTTTTTCCGTGCACTGCCAAAGCCAATTTAAAAATGATAAACAATAACAAATCATGTGAAACAGAACCCGAAATGCAAACAAATCAAAAAGCGGAGTTTAACTTAACGAGAACAAAGTGAGTTCTTTGTGAGTCGTATTTTTTGTTCCTGCTAATGAGGCTGTGCACAAGTGGCAGACTCTTGAGCCCCATGTGCACAATACAGTACACGCGAGCTTAACCCTTTCAGGGCGACTGGAGGATGCGGCCACTTAACCCGTTACTGCAACTGTTTGTCCTCCGCCCTGCGGTCGCTGCCCCGGCGTTTTGTTTATTTAAGTTGCAATTACTTTTTGCCACCCCCATGCAACAAATTCCCCGGCTTTCAATGCTCGGTGTTTTGTAAGACTTTGGGGGGAGTTTGCTTTGGGTGGGGGTGTGAAGGTTGCCCCTGCATAAAGGAAAACACAACTAGATCCACTCAAGTGCAATGACATCATGGCAAGCATTCATAATGCTCATTAGCCGACCCCCCTTGCCCCTCCCCAACTCACCGCCCGGTGGCCATGTCAAAATGCCATTTTTATGTGGCACACGCGCTGCCTTCTTTCTGGCAGCTTATCGATGCTGCCACCATTTATATTCCCACTTCTATTGTGCACTTGAAAAAATCCGATCCAAATCCTTTTGCATAGAACAAAAAGGGAAAAATTGCTTTAAAAAATTGTCTTAATAATATTTTTAAATAGTAAATAGAGAATTCCTTGATCTTTAAAATAGTTTAAATTTGTACATATTAAATAAGCACTGCCCATAAATTACATTTAAAAAACAGCTGAAAGGGTTTCCCCAAAGTTAGGATCATATTTACACCCAGGTAAACCCATTATTTTTCGAGTGCACCCACTCGCCACTTGGTTTTTATGGCCGGCATGCAGCACACCTCGATTAATGCATATATATATAGTGTGGAAGAGTAGGGGCCCGAATAGAGCTATATAGAGCTATATGGAGCTATATGCCACAACAACATGCCCATGCACTTAGCAGTTTTATTGTATTGTATGTCTCGGTGTCGGGACAACTTCCACATCCACTTCTACATTCACGGCAACCCCTTGACAAACGCAACACGTGCGATTTGAGAATTTTATAAAAGTGTTTATTGGCCTCCTCAAGATCGTGTTGTTGGCCCTGCTCCCCTCGGTTCCATTTTCTCCCCCAGAAATGGAATGGGAACACGCTGACATTGACGATGCTGACAAGTTTTTAGTGCTCTAATGAAAATTAAAACACATAAAAATGGCTGAGAAACCGCACAATTAAATGGGCGGATTGGCAGATGGGCAGGAAATTGGGGCGGTAGGGGAGTAGGTCCCCTGAAACACATGGGTGTGTATTATATTGTTATGTGGCCCCAACTGAGGACTATAAACGGTTCGGGTACTCCAGTTTTATGGTGAATTCAAGGCCAGGTACTTCAACACGGCTAAATTATCCACGGGGACAAGCGATTAAGAACTAATATAAATAATTGACAGGGAAATGTGTAGTTGAGTCATAACACCTTGGAGTTATAATACTTTTTCAACGGTTTCTACTCTTTTATAGAGTACATTTAATTATTGGCTATGACGTCTAACTATAAATTCCAATTAAATAGCCACAGATCACTGAAAATATTGTTCAATGTAAATTAACAGTTCAAGAAACCTAATGAAAGCCTTCATTGAGTTGTTTGTAAATACATTTTCGGTTTCGAAAATATTTGCTGCAAGCACGTCCACATTTCGAGTTCAAAGGAAAGTGTTTTAATTAAAAAGGCAGAGAGATCGCATGCCATCGGGTCCTTGGCGAAGGCCACAAGCACTCCACTCATAAGCCCGCAATGGTTTTGTCTGTACATTTGAAAGTTTCGGCTCGTATCTGTGTCACATTTGCTGGCAGCTCTCATCTCATTGTCATTGCACATTGTTGCTCTATTTAAAACAGACCCACACATGCAATCTAGCACCTTGTCAGTCCATTGTGGCAGACAATTTGGAATAGGTATTGGAACTGCTGGCACACGTTGACATCGCACCACAGAGAGTCCTGTCTACACGACTGCCACCGCCCAGTCCTCCCCTCGTAGTCCTCCATTGCGCCGCCCTTTGTCAGACCGAAAAATGCAAATTTTCTTTGACATGGGCAAGTACAAGATAATAATTCTCTAACACATACCAACTGCCGAATGGGGAAAGCAGCACTGAAAAAAAATAGCTAAAATATTCTACTGAATTAAGTTAAAACTTTCCAACCTTCTGAAGCTACAACAATATTTAAATCAATACGATAATATATTAAAACCTCCAATTTGAAACAAGAAGACATGTTGCATTTTGTATTTCTTCTTTGGACTTTCCTAATAATTTTGATTTATATTCAATATTTAATAAACAAAACTATATATTAATTGTTGGAGTTCTTCTGGGTCGAAGATTAAATACTTATTCTCATTTAAAAATTGTAGCACTGTCCTGATTAAAATTAAAAAAATATTAAAAATTAAAAAAAAATCATTTCAATTCATAGAGTCCTTTTAACCTTTATATTTTATAAAAACAATACAATTGAATTTGTTATTGTATTTATTCCAGTGTTCTCCCCCTTTCCCCGCCACCTCGCCCTTTCAAACTCTGACAATTTCCGGTTGCTGCGGAATGTATTCAGGCTCTGTGGCAGTTCTTCAGTATCTTTGACACACACGAAGGCTTCCCAATTGAAATTTATGCGTTACCTTGGTGTCAATTAAAGGCGCCTATGTAGCTGTTTAATTTGCACGAAACATTCGAGGCTTTTTGTGGAGGATATCGAATGGCCGAGTGCAGTCGCCGATTATTGGTTGCTGTAATAGTAATGGCCATAACATGTAATGCAGATTCATGTATCCCGCAGATACATTTGTATCTGGAAATGCACATCCTTGGCACATTAATCGATTCGCCCGGCGGCCCAAGAGCGATTTCGCTTTGATTAGCGTTGCACAATTATACGCCGGCCGTAATCGAATGCAACTGCAGCTGCATCGCTTGTGTGCGAAACCGAATCTGAATTTCAATCCGAATTAGACGGCAGTTGGACAATGGGACACTCGCAGGCGGAATGCAAATGCGACATGTTTCGCCCATCACTCCGCATTTGGGCCCAAAATGTGTGCGCACACACATGTATCTTGTATCTTCCATTTCCATCCATGCCCCGATTAAGCCGCTGCCTTTGTTGTTTGTTTCAATAAATAAATTAACCATCAGGGATCACGGGCGGAAAAGCGGGAGTTATGGCAATAATGGCCATTCGCAAATATGTTAATGCGTCATAAGGAAGGCAACATTTTTTAATTATGCACACTTTTAATGGCTTTAATTGCAGTTAAAGAGCTACAAAGTAGGGCTTTAATCGAAAGTGGCAAACGGCCTGGAAAAACTGAAAATGAAGGGGTTAAAAAATGGAAAATGCCTAGCAAACAGCGGCGGGTGTTCAGGTTATGTTAAATGTTGATTTATGGCCAGGAAGAGCGGTGCACAATGCCTGACTGCGAATTAAATTTCCATATTAATGCGCCTCGAACTGAACTATCGAGAAGGGCCGGTCTATTTAGCAGAGCTTCCTTTTCATCTCCTTGAAGCACCACAAAAATTCCATCAATTCGAGGTCCCCCTTCCTTCAGAACCTCTTCAAAAGCAATACAAAATGGAGCACCGAAAAAAATATATTAGAAAATAGATATGAAAGCATTTTTATAGATACCTATGTATTATATAGGTTTACCGTCTACCTAATGGTAAAAGAACTTATAGATCTCACCATCTTTTAAATAAGCTATGATAAATTCGAGGTTTGGAAATGATAAAATAAAGAACTTCAACAAATTTACTTGACCTCTAACCTTTGATCGCATTTTTCTCTGTGTAATTCCTACTTGTTTTCCCAGGCACTGACTATTTTTGGACACTGTCTGCCATTTTGCATGGGCGGCATAATAATCATTGACCTTTTTATGGCTGCCTCACGCGCCTTTTAATAAATTGAAAGCGCCGAAAATGTTTACTTCCTACAATTGAGGTCCCCAACAAAAGGGAAAATCAATGTTCCAATAAGTCAGCGGCAATAACCATTCAAGATGTCGTCATTCCCCGCACTTTTCCGCTTTCCCCGGCAACGCTGGCCTTTGAGGAATTTTGAGTGAGGCCCAGGGAGGAAGATACAATTGAATTTCAGTGTTGGCAATTTAATTTCTTTTGTTGTCAGCGGCATAAACATTGATGGAAGTGCGATGGCGATGGTACAAGGTGGGCGGTGGGCGTTGGGTCAGGGGAAGCTGCGGCCACGCCCACACTTTATGTTACTGTTATTGTTGCTGGCATTTCGGTGACAGCAGGACAATGGCAAGAACACGCTGGGATATCCGGCATACAAAATTAAACAAACAATGACAAGACAAGAACTCGGCC